CCTCTTCCTGTTCGCGGTCAGCCTGCCTTTCTTGAGTCTGCCAGGTGTACGGGAGCCTGGCCGGGTGGCCTACCAAGTGAAGAGAATAAGGGAGAGACGACCCCCACCTGTCCCCCTGTGGGAAAGGCAGTAGGGAGATGTGTGTTGCCCATGTGATCCCGTCAGGGTGCATGAGGGGCTGCGCTGTGCTCCTCATTATGCTGCCCATGGACGGAGCATCATTCGTGACCTACTGTACGAGTTGCAGTTGGACCAACTTCGACTGAATCTGGCTGTATCAGTGACCAGATTCGCCGATGTAATCGGAGTCGTAGTGAGGTCTGGATCGGGAGCAGGGTAGTAAGAGGGTCGGGGCGAAGGTGAGGACTACTCGAGAGGAGAACGTAAAAAACCAGCGGGAGACCAGGGGAGAAAAAACCATACGTTCCTGAGCAATTTGCAAAGCTAGCGATGCTTGCCGAATAACAGAGTGCTGAAGCTATTGCTCACTAAGTGACCATCCGCGCGGCCGTGTGAGTGATCATGCGGGTTGCTGTTCGCTATGCGCGCAGAGCCTTATTGCAGCGATTGCGGTGGTTACTACGGGTACTCCATGCCGTCGGCTTGGCCGAGGAAGCTTGGGCCTTGCCGCTAGGTGGGGAGACCGAGACTACGGGAAGAGGCTGCTCTGCTGCTCTGTGAACTGTTGGTAGCCCCAACTGTGCTCCTACTGAAGCAGCCGCGGGGCTTGATACGGGCTGCCAGGGCTGCTGAGCAACGTTACGCTGCTGCGCACGCTTTATTCTGTCACAATAGCGACCGTTGAGTGCGCGGTCTCGTCGGCCCATTCAGCCCTGTGTACTGAGTCCCGTATCGAGGCGCCTAATGGCGGGGCTAATTGCTGATTTCAGACGGGGTGTGGAAAAGAGGAAGTGATTGAATAACAAAAGGAGGAGGGTACTGTTATCGTGAACCAGGAGGTCACCAAAAGGTTGGCTCCGACGGGTTGATTTCGGTCAACCAGGCTGCGACTAACGGGCTATTGTTGCAACTTAGAGAGCCGTCAGGTGTGTAACCTCAGTGACTGGTTCGGGATTGATTAAGTTGTTACGTCGGCTGCCATTGCGGGGCCCTTAGGCGCATCTAGATTTCAAGACCCTCTCTTGCGAGACTGAGAGCACCATTCTTGGATCTGAGAGTCTCACACTTTTCTCTTTCTGCCCATCTAACTCTAAGTCTAGTCCTTGGTTACGAGAGGAAGGCGGCAGGCGGGATTGCATCCCGTAAGTCCGCATCAAGACTCTGTGGGGAGTCCACCCACCGATTGTGGGAGCTCTGCCGGAACTCAGGAGGAGTTCTGGAGGCAGAGAACCTTCAGGTAAATCATCTTTATCTGTATAAACCCCACTATTACCCATGTTTGCCTATCTCCCTGCAGTACGATTGATGTATGCATGAGTTGTCCCTATGATTATTGTTTTCTTTTTTGGACCTAATCAGATTGAATGGAAAGAATATGTGAGAGTGAAGCCTAAGTTTTTACTTTGTTCTGATTGAAAGCAGACTAAGGATGAACTGGGGG